TTTTTTTTTTGGGGGGGGGGGTCTCTTTATTTATCACCATCTTTTTGGTTCTAATGTCGCATACCCACAGTCTTTCCTCACTCTAATCCCCTTCCAAGATAGTTTTAGTACCACATGTTTTACATTAATTGCGTGTGTGTGTAAGAGAGAGACACAGGGAGACGTGCACAGTGGACAGGTCAGAGGTCAACTTGTTCATGGTCTGAACTGATCACCCAGTTGTTGTTTTTTCAGTTCAGACTCATAGACAGCATAAAAAAGCATCCGTATCTTTAAACAACCTGCTGCGCGGAGCCTCATTGTGAATGTGATTCTAAGTCTGCCAGTACACAGACACTGTGTTCGCCAAACAAGTGGGTTTTGGTGGGCATCACATAAGAGCTACAGATCCAAGAAAAATGTTGTTAGAAATAACAGTTTTGGAAAGAATATGGAAAGAATAATTAAAATATATTAACATCCATTCTCAAATGACTTAACATCGCAAAAAAAAAAAGAAAAAAAAAAAGAAGTACACTGTATAGCCAGACCTGCCTGTGTGAGCTCATGCAAAGTTTTGGAGATACATGGCTTTCATAGGGCAGCGATGTTACCATGGTTATTTCACTTTATTTATTTATTTATTTATTTATTTTAATCAATCAATTAATCATTCAATCAACCAACAGGTTCAATTACTATGTCAGTCCAGCCACAGGAAGCAGCCAGTAGAATCACCTTGAATCCAGCGTTTCTATTTCTAGCCTTTTTAATAAGAGAGACAGACTGAGCATATTTTTTTCTTTTTGTCATAATAGTAAAAATATTAATAACAATGACAATCTATTTTTTGAGAATATATTTCTTTGTTAAAAGAAACAGCCTTTTGTACAAACGATTTTCCATGTTTACATATATATACCTTCATAAAATACCATATATATATATGGTATTTTTATGAAGGTATAAATAAAGGTATAAATAAATATATTCTGCAATAATTCTATTATCTTCGTGTCCCTGAGCAACCAAAAAGAAAAAAAAATCATCTGTTGTATCTTGAGCCAAGAGAGCCACAAACAAACAAAGTGTGAGCGTCGTGAAGATGATGATGATGGTTGTTTCTTTCTCTCTCCTCCTGCTGGTGGTTCTCTCTTTTCAGTACCTGCCTGATCTCAACCCGGCACACGCCGAGAGTCAATAGAAGTTAACAAGTCCTCTAAACTTTCCTGCGCCTTTTGTTAATCTAAGGACACAAAGGCGGAGGCAGAATAAAGCCCTTTGAAGTATGCAAAGCCTAAAGAATGCCAGCCAAGTAGATTTAAAGTAGCCACTGATTTCCAAAAACCTGCCTTGAAAGGGAAGAATGGAAAAGGGTGAGGATTTATGGAGAAATTATACAGTGGATTTGTCAGTTAAAATATCGGAACTGTCTGGAGGACAAAGCCACATGCTGAGGATTAATGGCCGCTCTGGACCTTTGATTCTGCACCCTCTTTTCTCTGGCCTTGACAAATTGGATTTCGGGGATGGGAAGGTCGCCTGGCCCTTTGTGTCTCTTGACCGTTTTGGAGCAATTCATTATACAGCGGGGTGAGGGAAAGTCTCCATGTGACCAGGCCGGCCCGTTTTCTCTCTCCACACAGCTGCTGGGTGAGCCCAACTCTCTCACACTCACTTCCACACAGTCACCGCTGCTGCTACAAACTCAGGACCGCTCCCACCCCCCACCACCACGTCCTCCTCCTTCTCTCCCTCCTACCTTACAGCACAGCATCACCTCTTTGCTACAATCCCCCCAATCTGAAACACCCTCACACACTTGCATCCCCAGATACAGGAGTGGGTGGGTGGGTGCGTGGCTGGGGGTAGGGTGGGGGGTAAACTTACTCTGCTCCATCACTAGAAAAGCCGGAGAGCATAACGCCACCGCGTCACTTTGAGGGCGGACATCGGCCTGTCCTCATCATCTCCTCTCGCTTCATCCCCCTTCCCTGCGCGCTCTCCATACTTCCGTCTCCATCAGTCTTCATGGTTCTGATCTCACCCCACGCCATGCAAGCCACCCGGGCGTCCACCACCGTCAGTGTGTTTGCGGACTGCAGCATCCCGGCCGGGCTCCGGATTGGACCGGTACCGGGCATCTTCAAACTCGGGAAGTACGTGTCGGACCGCAAGGAAGTAGGGCCCAAGAAAAAGGTAAGTTTAGAGCATTAAAAGAAGAAACGTGGAATAATTGTCTCTTTCTGGAAAGTTCTTGTTTTTACTTTGCATTTTCGAGTTTTTTTTGTTATATATATATTTTTAATAATAACGGTTTTATTTTTAAATTAATTTGGAAGATATAAAGATTGATTTATTTTTGTAAGCTTGCCTTTATTCAAAATCATTTTCGTTATTCCAAGTTTGTATCGGAACTGCTTTATTCTTTCGCTGATATAATATACATTAAAGCATTTTACTATATTTATATAGTATATTTTACACGTGATTAGAATTTTGTATATTATCTTATGTTGTTAAACATAAGTAGCTCCAGCAACACTAGAAATTAGATGTATATTTTTTTAAACTTGCTCTGTCAAACTCCATCGGGCCTTGAGTTAGGCTTTTAATTGGTTTGGCCTGTCAAGTTGGAAATAATTGAGTTCCATTAGCGGCTGACTTGTCAGTCTGTGCTTCTACTTAACCGGCCTAATGGGCGACCCGGGTCTGCTGTGTGGGATTTCAACCCCTCAGCCGCCTCACATTTCTCTGCCTGGCGGGCCTGTTATTCCGATGAGCCGTTTAATTTTAATCTAATCCGGCCACAGAAAGATGCCACTGAGACAACATCCTAAAACAAATCAGCAAAAATAAAGGAAAATACAATTAATTTAAAAAAACATAAATAAACAACTAGATTGAAACAGTGAAACATGAATTAGTCCCACGTTATCAGCAATTAATTATTTAAATTAAGTGAAGCTTGGGGGTTAAATGATGCCCATTCAAAGACCAGCATTTTTGCACTTTTTAAGTACTTCGGACTGGAAGTATGGGGGGGGGGGGGGGGGGGGGGAGCCAAACCAATATATCTGCCCCCCTTTTTTTTTTTACACGCGCAGTAGTGAAGACTTTGCGGCTCTGTGAGCATCTTTAACTGAACTGCGCCGTGTTATTGTTGAAGCTGTCATCGGGGGTGATTGATGTGTCTAAATGCGTGGCCCCGGGCTGCCGGCGATCATCAGGTGCAATCTCTGTGTCAAATGTCACGCTTCGATCTTTAATGTCCTTGAACAGTTTAGAAACGCTCTGACACTCCTCAAATTCGTTTCCCATATCAACTCAATTAGGCCCGTGTGTCATCCTCTTTAATGAATTATCAGCAGAGCGGAAAAAGACGCATTAAGCGCGTTTTAAGGAATATTATTAGTGGCCGCTGAACCCTTCAGGTAGCTCGACTTGGAAGACAGTCGTTTGTGGCAATTTCGTTTTTTGTAATGTGAAAAAAGACTAAAATAGCAAAACTGCATTTTTTTTTTTAAAGAAGGCAGCGACCTTTCTTTTAAAAATGTTCCTTTTTCTGATGGTCAAAAATGGCCCTCACTGCTCACGTTTGTCTTCATCGTGTTTCTCTTTTTTCCCCTGGCTCAGATCCGCTTGGTAAGGGGGGAGTTCGTAGATGAGTCAGGATGTCCCGTCCCGGACTGGATCGGATTAATCCGCGCCGCCAGGAACAGCCAAGAGCAGAACCTGGAGGCTTTGTCGGACCTGCCTGGCGGACAGGTGAATATTTTAAGCCCGTGACATCACAGTTAACGGCCTCGTGAAGTTTCCCATGAGCAAATTCCTTGCCCCTCTATATGGACTCTTAAGTTAACACTGCTTTTGTTTTTTCTTGAGATTTTCTACCGCGTGCTGAGAGAAATCCCCGCAGGAGAGGAGCTTAGTGTGTGGTACTCCAACGCTCTGGCCCAGTGGTACGACATCCCCACCACGGCCACTCCCACGCACGACGAGAAAGGTAAACGAGTCTGCAGAGAGTGGTGCTGCTAACGTGGACAGTTGAACGATTTTTAATCCAACAACAATAATAACAATATCATAAAAAATCAGTGACTTTTTTTTTCCTTCTAAGGACGCGTGTGTCGTTTTCACGTGAACACTACCTTCTGTGGCCATGGCCTCCGATTTACAGATCTGACACATCGACATGTTGAGGGTTTTTATCACCGTGCACTTAAATGACTGCCAATACCCCATAATGTGACTGCTTTATCGCTCAGAGATGGAAATCAATTGGATGTTTTTTTCTTCCCTGCAGGCGGATTATTTATTCATTTGCAATTCTTCATGTCGCGCGTTAAATAAAATATCGTGGTTAAGAAATCAAGTGAAGAATAATATAGCCTACTGGAATAAAAAGATTCGTGAAGGGAGAGAAAACTGCACTTTTAGCTGTATTTTGGGTGGTGTTCAATTATTAAAAACTAGTTCTTGTGGGCGGATGAAGACGATACAGTGGATAACAGGTCATCAACGCAAATCATTTTTTGGAGTAAAATGCTAGGATGAAATGATTCGATTTGCTAAGATTAAAATACAGAACACAAGAGGATTTCAGTTTTGTGAAAGATAATTTCTCGATGGGTTAAGATTTTTCATCAGCCCGTCTTCGAATTTATAATCAATTTGTGCGGGCCAAATTGGTGCAAAGTAGGCGTTTGCGCGTCGGGGATTAAACACTTAATCTTGGTTTTAAAAAAAAAAGCTCAGAAGAATTTAATCGGTTTAAAAAAGATTATCCACCGATACTTCATTGGAAATTCCATCAACAGGCGATTATTTTATCTTGCACATTTAATTTCGAGCTGGAAGGGCCTCTTGAATACTTCCCAAAAGCACAGCGGCGAAGCTTTAAATGATATCAAACTTGATTCAAGATGTTTTTTAAAGCTCTTACTCTGCCACAAAGTAGTTGCGGTTCTTGAAACACAGAATAAAAAAGCAATTAAAAGCAGAAACTGACGCGCCTCGGCGACCATGGAGAAAGAAGAGGCTGGTGATTCAGTCGCGAGACTGGAGGTTAACAAATGTCATCGCGCCATTAATATTCATGTATTCAAAAGCAAATAAATTCAAAAACAAGTGCTTCACGGTAAATTAGGTGGGTGCGTTAAGGTATTGTGGGCTAATGAATGCTAACTTTTATGTGGGGTGTATATTGCCCTGATTCTCCGGCCCAACACACCGTGTGCGCTCCTGGACATACGCTCTCCTCCATTATGAGGCGTCAACAGATGGGCCGCCGCCATTGTTTCCGGGGACTTGCGATTTCAAGCAACAGCTGCTGTCACTTCCACGGGAAAGAGCACAGAGAGGAAAAGTCCCGCATTCAATGCGTCGTTTTCTGAGCGCCAGATTGGGCTGGGCGTTTGCCCTTTTGATGGTGATCATAAACAATGGCCCGTATGAGGATTACAAAATCATTACATCTATATTAGGCCTAACCTCAGAGTGCTGGACTGGGGTCATTATGATGGCTCCATGTGTCTATTACCATTTGGCACCAGATCTTAGAAACCGGATCATATCCATTAGGCTTGAATTGAAATTTTAGGTGATGTGTAGCAGTGACTGATAAAAATCTGTCAGAGTAAATGGGATATTTAAATAGGTTTTAATGTTATAGGTTTTGTTGTTTTTTTTTGCGATAATGTAGTTGGGAATGGGAAACGTGTATTTTCTGATTTTTCAATCCTTTCAGCCCAAGCTTATGTTTGTTTGACTTTGTGTGTGTGTGTGTGTGTGTGTGTGTGTGTGTGTGTGTGTGTGTGTGTGTGTGGTTACATGTACAGTTGTTGTTGTTTTTTTTAGTTTTTTTTTTACAAGTTACAGTGGCTGTTATTGCCATTTTACGCACGGGGTCTAACGCTCCACATTAATGTCTCTGTTGTTGTCGTATGTGTTGTCTCTGTAGGTGAGGAGCGTTATATCTGCTGGTACTGTTGGAGGATATTCAAATACCCGAACACACTCAAGGCTCACGTTCACTTCCACTGCGCACTGAGCAACGGGCGAGGGTTTGTGAGCAGCGAACAGGCCAGGGGCACAGAGACCTTCAGCAGGTCACCAAAATCTGGAGACATTCCCAACAACTCCGCCTCACCGAGGAGCGCTCACAGTAACTCCTCCATCACAGACTCGGGTCGGCGGGCGGTGTCCTCGTCCCCGTTTTTGAACAAAACGGGACTGTCAAAGAAAAGCAGCTCCGAGGAGCAGGACAGGGCCCTCGACATGAGCGTCACTTCAGGCAGAAACCAGGGGCATCTCCTCAGCCTGGGCGCCACCACTTCAATGCTAAGCAGCATGGGCTTCCATCCTGGTGTGCGCTCAGCCTTTAAGCCAACTGGTGTCTCAAAAGTCCCGGGAGCGGAGAGCTCCAGAGAGGAGGCCAACGGAAAGCTGAGCTCTATGGGATTCAGCAAACTCATTGGGAACATGAAACCAATCCGCAACGTGGGCGAGGGTCTAAACGCAGGAGGGAACCACCCTCCCAAGTGCCCACCTGCAATTATGGACTCCACATCTCCGATGGTGCCGTGCACAAACGCAATCCGAGGTTTCCCGCTGCTGCCTCACATGGAGGAGACCTCAGCTTTCAAGCACGTAGAAAGTCGTTTCCACTCCGGCCTGTCCCCGTCCCGTTACCCACAAATGCCCCCTGGTCTCCATTTTGAAAGACTCTCCCTCCCTCACTTCGACGGTGTCAAGACTTACGGTGGAGACTGTAACATCCCCCTGATGCCCTTCACTGTCTACAACGGGGAGCTTTTATACAGCTCCCCCTACTATCCGCTGAAATTCCACTTCAGCAACCTCCTCAAGTACCCAGAATCCATGTCATACTTTGGTGCACCCTCGCTGAGCCACGACCTGGGGTCGATCACGAACATTGACCGGGAGATCGCCATGCACACACAACAGCTGTCAGAGATCGCAGCAGAGAAGAACCGGACACGGCTGGATTCCATCCCCGCTGGAAGCACGAGCAACACCACTTCTGGCAAGCCTAAAAAGGGACATCTGTGTCTTTACTGCGGCAAGCTGTACTCCAGGAAATACGGCCTGAAAATCCACATGAGGACTCACACAGGCTACAAGCCGCTCAAGTGCAAGGTGTGCTTCAGGCCCTTCGGAGATCCCAGCAACCTGAACAAACACATCCGACTCCACGCTGAGGGAAACACGCCCTACAGGTGTGACTTCTGCGGAAAGGTGCTGGTGCGGAGGCGGGACCTGGAGAGGCACGTCAAGTCCAGACACCCCGGACAGACCGTCAAGAAACTGGAGGACAAACCGGGCGGTCTGTTCGAGGAAGCCGAGCAAAAGAGCGACAATGACAGCGACGTGGACGTGTGCTTCACCGATGACCAGAGCGACCAGGAGTCGAGCAAAAACAACGACTGAGATGGTTTTCACGGCCACATAAAGACTGGCATTGTCTTTAAATATTGTACACAGCAACACGTGTCATTTAGTCTTGTATGAAGTCTTGCATTTTTATATTTTAGATGCCTGGAAGGCTCGCGAACTACAAACATGAAGAAAACATGTTTCTGGCCTCGAAATAAACGTCACAATCCACAGCCTAGCTGTTAATCTCAGTAATAAGTGGGGAGCTAGGCTTAGTATTCAGTTTTCTCACGTTTCCCGGCTGCTTCGGACCCCTAAAAACCCTTTAAGAAAAACAAAAAACAAATAAAGAAAAAAGAAAAAGATGATCATTGCGTTTTTTGCCATGCAAACCAAACCACAACAAAAGTGAAAAACAAACGAGGAAGCTTTCGAATTTTATTTCAATCCTCGCTCTTTTCCACATTCCTTTTGATGCTGACGAAAACACATCTGCCAGCGATTCAAAAAAAAAATAAAAAAAAATTCACATTTCAGCAAAACCGTGAAGGCAGCAGCGCAAAACAAGCAAACCTCAGTCACACAAGAAAAACAAAAGCTCACAAGACTGAATATGACGCTAAAACACATCTCCTTGATTTGGTTTGCAGTGTAAAACTATCTCTTGTAAAATCCCCCACATCCCCCGACTCGCCAATTAATTTCATGTTTGGAACTGGTTCTTAACTAAAGGCCCACCAGAGGAGGGGTTAGCGTTACATTCACTAACACGGGATGTAGACACATGATCATTGTTGTATTTCCCCTCCCTCGGACTGTCAGCTGCACTTTAACAAACAAGCAAACAAAAAAACAGCAATGGGCATTTCATCTCCAGGACACGGCTGCTTAATTAGCTGCTGATTATTGATTTGAATATTGTATCTATAGCCTCACCCGCACCCTCCTCCTCCTTCCCACTCACTCACTCACTCACTCACTCACTCACACACACCGGCGCCTCGCGCACTGTTCTTAAACTTGCACTTTCTTGCCGAGGCGCGCGCCTCTCGCTGAGGCACCCGATAGCGTCCAGTTTATTTAAGGAATCACGTCTAGACAAAGAGTATGTATTGAGTGCAGTTATAGCCTATGTAAAGAAGTTGTAAAGTATGATATTTCAAATTTCAGTGGAGAAGTGATGTATACGTTCGTTTCAAAGTGATCTTGTCCACGACGGACAATGTTTTACTCCTGTCGGTTGCTTTTTAAATAAATTTAATTTAATTTTTTTTCTTAAACAAGCTGTGTGTGTGTGTGTGTGTCTTATAATCATCTGCTACTTCAGACATAAAACTTCAGCTAATACACGGTAATAAATACATTTTTATTTATTAATCTATTTTATTGTATTTACTCAGATTTTGGAGGCGTTCAAAGTGGGCGTAAATTCCTCTGCGCAGTGAGTCGCCCCTATATTGCCCTTAAAACAAGCAGAATATATGTGACAATAAAGCAGGATTTCTTTTTAAAATATACATAAATAAAAAAATTAAAAAACAAGTAGCTAGCGGAAGAGAAAATGCCACTCAACTTCAACTGGGTAAACCCGGCTTCCCAAAAGGACTTGTTTAAAGACGTCTCCTGCGTGGTGGAAGACAGTAGGCCCGCGTCTTTGTAAGCTAAGGTATGTTAGAAATATTTACAATTAAAATAGCAAAAAAGCGGACCCCTTTTACATATTGTATTAGCAGATCGTTAAAGCGGTTGCATTCATGCGTCAGCAGCATTTTATTCTCTTTGCTGCATTAAAGAAGGCATTTTGTTTCTGTATATGCGCCACAATAAAGACATTTTCTAAAGTAGCTGTCGTCTAATGAAATGGTTTATAACCGTACAATATTTAAGTGAAAATAAAATCGAGTAAAATTAATTAAACATAAAAAAACCCAAAATTGAATAAATTGGAGGATTTTTTTTCGCGAAAATTAAACGAAAGCCAAAGGTCTGCTCCGGCCCACGACTGCATAGAGTGGGTGAAGGTTTCATCCCGTGTGGATGCTCTGGACGGAGGCAAGCTTTTTTTGTTGTTTGTTTTTTTCCTGCTAGCAGGGCGGACATTGCTACACCCCTTTGTTCTGCACACAGTCCCCCTCAGTTAAGGAGCGACAGTGTCCAGTATAAGAGCAATCACAATCAGAAATTCAGTAATACATAAAATCCGTTTGTTGTGGCTTTCTTTTATAAATCACGGTATTTAAAAATGCATCATGAGCTACGTGTTAATTTACCAACTTCCTCCTGCTAATTTTAAATGAGCACCGTTGATTGGAGTGCATCCCATCATTTTGAAATTAAAGCATGGCCCGGAAGGTTGCAGTGGGGTTGAAACCCGTTCCAGATCACATCCCGGGTACACCCTGAACAAGTTGCCAATCCGTCACAGGCATAACACAGAGCGACAACCACACACTTCCACATTCACACCTGTGGAAGTGTGAACCCAACACTGTTTGTCTTAGCACACAGCACACAGGAAAACTCCAAGCAAATGTCATTAAAGAATGACTAATATTAATTAATAAAAAGTCTCTAAACGAAAACATGTTTCAGCAGTAAGACAGTAAGAAAATAATGAGGACAATAAAAAATGATTCCAGGCTGCGTTGTGTCCTGTTTACAACATATGAGAACAACGTAATCTCAGCTCAGTGTGGGTACAGTTTAAAAGTTTAAAAGGTTTGGCTTGGACATGATGTTAAGGTGCAGTTAATATGCTACTTGATGTTTCCTAATACTTACACAGATTTTTTTTTTTTTTAAAGGTGCTGAACCGCCTCAGCTGGCTCCGAGTCTGCTTGGAGCTGATTGAGCTCCTCACTTTATCTCCTAGGGAAAGCCGCGCCACCTTCATTTATTTTGCTTTTATGCATGCTCTCATTCGTTTGGTCACTATCACAGGTGAGGGCAGGAAGGTAGATCGACCAGTAAAATCAAACTCTCAGCTTCACGCTCAGCTCTCGCTTCACCACAATAGACCTGTAAAACATCTGCATAGCCTGCTGCAGATGCCGCACCAATCCGTCAGTCAATCTCCTGTTCTTTTGTTCCCTCACACATGAATAAAACCCCGGGATCGAAGTGCAGTACAAGGAGAAATGTCAGAAATGCGATATGAATTAGCAGAATTAGCAGTTTATGAATTAGCAGTTCAAAAAAAGTGAAGTTCCACGAAAAGCAAGAGTAATTACAAGAACTATTTTTTCATTAATAACGTTGCTCCTTGCAAACAGCGAAGAAAGCGGTTACCTTATTTTTGCATGCAGCAGAGCTCAGTCTGCCTGTAAATGATTTAATGTTCCTTTACAAACCTCACAGCGTGTAGTAAACAGGAGAGAAAGGAAATGAGGCATTTCAGCTTCACAAGCAACCAGGTTTCCTGTCCATCTGCTACCTGCTGATGGACAGTAAATTTGAAGGTTATGTGAAGTGCTCTGAGCTCTGCGCAAAAACGTTTGTTAACATAAGGCAATGGCAAGAAAAAAAGAAGCAGCCAAGAAAAATATCTAAATATAATAACTTTAGAGTCATTTTTCTGCTTATCTGTCCTTCTACCAGGCAAGTACTTCGCTGTCCAATCAAGAGTCTCTAACCCCTAAGACATTGAGCATTACTGAGAATACTGACTGTAATTACTGGATGTTAAAATGCAATCCCTGAAAATGTAATGCCATTCCCACTGAATGCAGGAACGCATGTGCACAAATCATCAGAAGTCTTGCACCAGATCGCTGCCATTTAAAGACAATCCTCAAAGCAAACCAAACACACTCTTCTTTCCCCAACATCTCTGACCACTTTTGCCTCTTTTGTGGCAAAAGTGCTCTTTGAGAAAGAAATTGACCCGCCTGGCACCACACAATGACAATTTACTGCTGTGTAACGGGTTGGAAAGAAATATGACATGCTTGTGCTCCATATCAGCGAGTACTATTCCAATCCAAGCACCATGTGTTATGCTTTAATGGATATGAGTGAAAGCTGTGACTCTTTCCATCCACCTAATAACTGCCCAAAGTGGAGCAGTGCTAGGCTTCTGGAGAGTTTTCCATTAGTGAGGTGAAATGGATGGTGGGGTTGAGTGTGAGTCAGGCCTCCGTGACGGTAAAGGTACAAATGAACAACAAAGAGAAGCTTTTGATTTGTGCTTGATCTTGGTTCACCTGCTGGTCACGAGCCCTGGATAGTGGCGGAAAGAATTCTATTGCACATACAAGAGATACAATTAGATTTTTTTTCCAAGGGGGAAGGTGACTCGCTTCTCTTGTAATCCTAGTGATTGCATACCAAAGCTCCCTTGGCTGCAGTGTATTATCTTTAAAATAAAGACACAGCGTTGTGCTGCTGATTTTATTTTGGATGCAGTTACGTTCCTTGGGACTTGCATAGTTTAAGACAAGAAGAACAACGGGGCAGCGTGAGGCACATGAAACTCTCAGCAGAATGTATACTGAACATGTAATCTCATTATATTTAGCCACAAATGCACACCATGATTTGACCTCCAGGAATTAATGTAATTAAAAATAAACTCAGCAGGGCTGCAGCTTCTGGAGGGATCACATGGAGCCGATCTGTCCCCTTTATGTGTCTGTTCACTTGTGCTCACTGTACCCTGTATTATTGTCCCTCCTCCGTTTAAGCCCACAATACTCAGGGCTCATTGCTGTGGGCCCCCGCATAAGTCTGGATCTGATCCAGACACTGTTTGCAATCCACCCCCCACCCCACTCTCTCAAACCCCGCTTGCTCATCCCCTCCCACCAGCGTTTTCAATCAATTAGTGCCATTCATTAGTGGGAACACTGGGGAGGGAAAAAAAGAGTTTGACTGGGGGGTTTGACTCCCAGCCTAGAATTTGATCCAAAACTCGCCTTCATTGGGAAGCTGACCACCACTCCAGACAGACTTGTTTCCAGGCTACAGCTAAGCCTCTTCTAGAGGCTTGGTGCAGGTATCCTCGATCACAGGAATCCTTTTTTTGTTTTTTAACTTTTTATTTTGTGCTTTTTCCAATTTTATAGTACATGCAAACAAAAAACACGAAAAAAAAAGAACACAAAAGAAACAAACCAAAAAAATAAAGGACACCCAATCTGTGGAAGAGGGGAAAAGGGGGAAAAAACAAACAAAACAAAACAAAAAACCAACAATGAGGAGAGGTCCCTGCCCTATGAGGCTGAGTGAGTCTTATAGGCTATCCATTTTGTCCACTGTTTTCGGTGTTTATCAGATTTCAGTCTCAAAGTGTAGGTCATTTTCTCCATTATATATATGTCCTCGATTACATCAGTCCATTCTTCCAACGTTAGGAATCCTTTTTAAACTGCTTACCTCTGCCGACAACCATGTTGTTGATCTAAACATGCAGTTTTGTGCATTAATAAGTTACACATGCAATTTTAAACTCATGGATTTAAAAGTGATCTAAATATCTTTAATCATTTCAAATGGAAGTGCATTGTTTTTTTTTGCA